GAGAACTTCCCTGAAATGATGAAAGATGAGAATGTATCCATCCAGGAAGTCCAACAGACACCAAACAGGATAGACCCCAAAAGAAAATCACCAAGACACATCATCATCAAAATGACCAAAACCAAAGACAAAGATAGAATCCTAAAGTATTTACTGTCATCATATTTTATCGAAACAAAATATTCCATCAATTGTATGTGCTACTAAAAAACGAGGGAGACTGCCAATTAAACTTTTATGTGGAGTTTCCTATCACATATAATATTTATTTGACATTTATTGAATGATCTCTTTATACTTTATTGGACATAATCTTATATATAAATGAAAATGAAAAGATGCAAAATAAATTGAATAAAATATTCCAGAACATAATATTTAAAGTCTAACTATTCTGGATCACATTTTGACTCAGAGATTTGTTGACTTTTTCTTAAGTTTTATTTACATAAGTGAAAGAAAATTATTTTCACATCTAATAGCTGGTTTGTTGATCTAATACTAATTCAACCAAATTCCACTTGGGTGTGTGTGTGTGTATGTGTATCATCGAGATGTATACACTTGGCTTGTTGTTGTTGTTGTTATGTGCCGTGGAGTCGGACCGGACTCATAGCGACCCCTCCTTGGGTTTCCGAGGCAGTATCACTATGGAAGTAGATTGCCACACTTGGCTTAAATTTGAAAAAAGAACCAGAGAAGGAGGAGTTCAGTTTTCTTAGATATTTTTATCCATATGGTTACTGGATTTTTCCCCCAGATGATTTAGGGCCTTGCAAAGTCTGAGGATAAAACAGGAGTAATTGTGGAGTTTACAAGTACTGACAAATCTGACTTGTTTCCCAAACCACTTAACACAGCATTTATATATTTAAGTATAGGATGGAAGAGTTATAGCACAGAGCTCTTGCATCTTGATAGATAGTGGTATCATCAAATTCAGAGCCTGAGAATTTACCCAGTTGATAGCGGCCTGGGAATATAAACTGAGAGCATCAGGCAGATTAAGCCACAAAGACTTCTTTCCCAAAGTAGATAATATTCTCACCTTACCTAAGGCAAAAGCAGATCTTTTTTGGTATTCTAGCCTATCCCAGATAGTTCTTTTTCATAGTAATTAGTCCTACTAGAGAATAATACTAGGAGCTCTGATGGCATAGGGTCTAAGGCATTTGACTGCTAACCAGAAGGCTGGCAGTTCAAACCCACCAGTCACTCCTCAGAAGGAAGATTGGGAAATCTACTTCTGTAGTGATACTGCCTCAGAAACCCAAGGAGGGGTCATTATGAGTCAGATTCGACTTGACAGCAGTGAGTTTGTTTGAAAAAAAAATAATAATCCCAAAAAAGATCTGAGGTTCTCTAGAAAGTTTCCATGATTTAAACTTTCACTGGAACTTCTGGGTATAACAACTTTTCATGATTTCATCCCATGTTTAAGGGGGGTGGGGGAACTCTTATTATCTACCCTGCTTGTATCAAATTACTAGAAAATCTAAATCAAAGAATACCCTGGTACCTCCAATCTCATTTTTCATTTTCCCACAAGAAAGGTTTGAATCCACTCTTCAGAAATACAAATAATCTTTGTAAAAGAAGGGAATAGAGGGAAGGAGTGCTGGAGGAATGCAGGGAGTGAGACAGTGACTAGTAAGAAGGTACACACCCTACCTACAGACATCGAGATATATTTTAAAAAGAAAAAATTATGTTCTGGCCCAGTCCATACATACAAGTATGTAATCATATAAATACACACAGGCATTGACAAAGAGGTGTATATAGGCATGAGGGCCACCAGTGGGCAACTCTTGACATAATGGAAAAAAATTGAGATGAGATCCTATTGAATGATTGGCTACAGGATGGTGAGGAAAAAAGAAAGGTCAGAGAGGGCTTCAAGGTTTCTATTCTGAATAATATAAAGTGATATGAGAATAGGGGAAGACCTGGTGGCAGTAAGTGGGACAGACCAGGATTCCTACTTCAGATGTTTTCATTTTGAGGTAACAGGTCACTAGTAGAAATTTCCAAAAAGCCATTTGGAGATGTAGGAACAAAGGAGTAAGGCCAACTTAAAATTTTCTTCTGTAAAGTTACTTTTGTTGTTGTGGTTGTTAAGGAAATAACATTTCTTGTGCGTGTTGAGTTCAGCAGCCTGATTCAGGTTGTCCCTTTATTGTATACCATTCTCTGCAGAGCACCAATTCCCAGCATCATAACCAGGTCCTAGTCTTCTTTTGCCTAATTACATAGTGAAAAGGAACTCCAGGCTTTACAGAAAATGTATTAAGAGAGTAAATACTACCTTTCATTATTAAG